GGGACACCAAAACCCTCACAGAAACCCTCCTGGAGATGCCAAGACCCTCACAGAGACCTCAGGGTGATCCCAAGCCTCTGCTGGGGATCTTCACGGGTGCCCTGAGACCCTGGTGGGGATCCCAAGACCCACCCCCGGTAACCCAAGTCTCTGCTTGGGACTCTCCTGGGGACCCCCATGGTCCCCTGAGACCCTCCCAGAGACCCCCACAGCTCCTCAAGGTTGTTGTTGGGACCCAGAGCCTCCATAGAGCCCCCAGGGTGCCTGAGACCCACCCCCCAGGGACCCTGAGCTTTTGTCAGGGATCCTCACAGGGACCCCCACAGATCCCCCCCAGGGACCCCGAGCCTCCACTCAGGGCTCTAAAAGGAGCCCCATGAACCCTCACAGGCACCCCAAACCTCTACTAGGGACCCTCACAGACCCCCATGGGGACACTGAGACTTTTCTGAGGACACTCATGGTCCCCTTAAGACCCTCACAGCTCTCATTCCCACCCCAAAAATCTTTACAGAGACATCCAAGACCTTCATGAGCCCCCCAGAATCCTCCCAAGGGACCTCGAGCCTTTGCTGAAGACCCTCAGGAGACCCCAGAATCCTCTCAAGGGACCTCGAGCCTTCCCTGAAGGCCCTCAGGAGACCCCCAGAGCCCCCCAGAATCGTCCCAAGGGACCTTGAGCCTTTCCTGAAGACCCTCAGAAGACCCCAGAATCCTCTCAAGGGACCTCGAGCCTTTCCCGAAAACCCTCAGGAGACCCCCAGAGCTCCTCAGAATCCTCCCAAGGGACACTGAGAGTTTTCTGAAGACCCTCAGAGCCCACCAAGAATCCTTCCAAGGGACCTTAAGCCTTTGCTGAAGACCCTCAGGGCCTCCCTGAGACCCTCACAGGAACCTCCAGGCCCCCCACGGGGACTCTGAACCATTACTGGGGACTCTCAAGGCCCCCCTCTTCCTGTGGAGAAACAGGTGCCTTGATTTTAGGGGGGGCACAAGGAGCAAAGGCGGGGTCAGGGGGGCTCACTCATGCTCTCGATGTCCAGGGAGTCGACGACGGAGCGCTTGTGCTCGTCGCTGGCGATCGCCCGCTCGAAGGCCTTCTGCTTGACGATCTTGTGACACTCCTGGTACTTCAGTTTGGCGTCTTTGTCATTGGGCCTCACCTTCACCACCTGAGGGGGTGACAGACGTCAGAGGATGGGGACACCCCCATCCCCAGGGCCCCTTAAGGCCCACGGGGCCACCCAAGCTCCAGCACCCAATGCCTCGGGGCGTCCCTGAGAGAGGAGAGGGAAGAGGGACCCCTGATGTGATGTTGGGAGGGACAATGTGGTCCCCAGATGTCCCCACAGCTGAGGCACGTGCTGATATGGAGGAAGGGGGGGACAAGGGGGTCCCCAAGTGTCCCCACAGCTCTAAGGGACCTAATGACATTGGGGGGTAACAAGAGGGTTCACCAAGGGTCCTCCCCCAGCTCTAAGGGACATGGTGACATCAGGGAGGGAATGAGGGTGTCCCCAAGAGCCTCCCCCAGCTCTAAGAGCATGTGCTGACCTAAGAGAGAGGACAAGAAGGTCCCCAAAGGTCTCCCCCAGTTCTAGGGGACAGTGAGGGGATGGACACAAGGACATCCCCAAGTGTCCAGTTCTAAGGGAGATGCTGACACTGGGGAGGGGTCAAGTGGGTCCCCAAGTCTCCCCCCGATCTCAGAGGGGGACACGCTGACACCAAGGGGGTCCCCAAGCCACCCCGAGCTCCAGGGGGGACACGCTGACACCAAGGGGGTCCCCAAGCCTCCCCCGAGCTCTGGGGGGGGGACACACTGACACCAAGGGGGTCCCCAAGCCACCCCGAGCTCCAGGGGGGACACGCTGACACTAAGAGGGTCCCCAAGCCACCCCGAGCTCCAGGGGGGGACACGCTGACACCAAGGGGGTCCCCAAGCCACCCTGAGCTCTGAGGGGGGACACGCTGACACCAAGGGGGACCCCAAGCCTCCCCGAGCTTCAGGGGGGACACGCTGACACCAAGAGGGTCCCCAAGCCTCCCCCGAGCTCCAGGGGGGACACGCTGACACCAAGAGGGTCCCCAAGCCACCCCGAGCTCCAGGGGGGACACGCTGACACTAAGAGGGTCCCCAAGCCACCCTGAGCTCCAGGGGGGACACGCTGACACCAAGGAGGTCCCCAAGCCACCCTGAGCTCCGAGGGGGGACACGCTGACACCAAGGGGGACCCCAAGCCTCCCCGAGCTTCAGGGGGGACACGCTGACACCAAGAGGGTCCCTAAGCCACCCCGAGCTCCAGGGGGGACACGCTGACACCAGGAGGGTCCCCAAGCCTCCCCCGAGCTCCAGGGGGGACACGCTAACACCAAGGGGGTCCCCAAGCCACCCTGAGCTCCGAGGGGGGACACGCTGACACCAAGGGGGTCCCCAAGCCTCCCCCGAACTCTGGGGGGGACACGCTGACACCAAGAGGGTCCCCAAGCCTCCCTCGAGCTCTGGGGGGGACACGCTGACACTAAGAGGGTCCCCAAGCCACCCTGAGCTCCAGGGGGGACACGCTGACACCAAGGAGGTCCCCAAGCCACCCTGAGCTCCGAGGGGGGACACGCTGACACGAAGGGGGTCCCCAAGCCACCCTGAGCTCCAGGGGGGACACGCTGACACCAAGAGGGCCCCCAAGCCACCCCCCGATCTCAGAGGGGGACACACTGACACCAAGGGGGTCCCCAAGCCTCCCCCGAGCTCCAGGGGGGACACGCTGACACGAAGGGGGTCCCCAAGCCTCCCCCGAGCTCCAGGGGGGACACGCTGACACCAAGGGGGTCCCCAAGCCTCCCTGAGCTCCAGGGGGGACACACTGACACCAAGGAGGTCCCCAAGCCACCCTGAGCTCCAGGGGGGACACACTGACACCAAGGGGGTCCCCAAGCCTCCCCCGAGCTTCAGGGGTACACGCTGACACCAGGGGGGTGCCGAGGGGCACCCCGAGGCGCCCGGCCTCACCGTCTCGTAGTCGCGGAGGGCGGCCTTGAACTTGCCCAGGGCCATGTTGCTGGCGGCGCGGCGGTAGTAGCCCTTGACGTATTTCTTGTCGAGCTCGACGGCGCGCGTGGCGTCGGCCAGGGCGTAGCCGTAGCACTCGGTGCGCAGGTAGGCCAAGCTCCGGTTCCCATAGTAGATGGCGTTGGCGGGGTTCAGCTCGATGGCGCTGCTGTAGTACTTCACCGCATTCTCGTAGTCCTTCCCTGGGCCGCCGGCGGGCGTCAGCGGGACGGGACCCCCACCCACTTGCCTCTCGCTGCCCCCCCCCTACAGCTCACTATCTGGCAGCCCCCGTATCTCATTGCCCCCCCTTAGAGCTCACTATCTGGCAGTCCCTTGCCTCTCACTGTCCCGTATAGCTCCCTATCTGGCAGCCCCCCGCCTCTCACTGTCCCTTATAGCTCACTATCTGGCAGCCCCCGTATCTCATTGCCTCCCCCCTACAGCTCACTATCTGGCAGTCCCTTGCCTCTCATTGCTCCCTATAGCTCCTTATCTGGCAGCCCCCCGCCTCTCACTGTCCCTTATAGCTCACTATCTGGCAGCCCCCGTATCTCATTGCCCCCCCCCTACAGCTCACTATCTGGCAGTCCCTTGCCTCTCATTGCTCCCCACAGCTCATTATCTGGCAGCCCCCCGCCTCTCACTGTCCCTTATAGCTCCCTATCTGGCAGCCCCCCGCCTCTCACTGTCCCTTATAGCTCCCTATCTGGCGGCCCCTTGCCTCTCATTGCCCCCCCCCATAGCTCACTATCTGGCAGCCCCCCGCCTCTCATTGCCCCCGAGAGCTCACTATCTGGCAGCCCGCGCCCCCCACTCCCTTCCAATGGCTCCCTATCTGGCAGCCCCCCGCCCACCATTGTCCCCCTACAGCTCCCTATCTGGCAGCCCCCTATTACCCCTCTAGGCTCCCTATCTGGCAGCCCCCGCCTCTCATTGCCCCCGATAGCTCACTATCTGGCAGCCCGCGCCCCTCACTGCCCTCCAGTGGCTCCCTATCTGGCAGCCCCCCACGGCTCCCTATCTGGCAGCCCGCGCCCCTCACTGCCACCCCCCCCCCTCCCCCGCCACGCCTCCCCCCACTGTCCCCGCGCCCCGGCGGTACCTTTGAAAAACTCGTTCGCGCGGGTCTTGAGGGCCTCGGCCCGCTCCAGCTCGGCGGGGCTCGGGGGTCGCCCAGGCCCGGGGCCGCCGCCGCTCTCCGCCCGCTCTCCCTCCGCCATCGCCGGGCCGTAAAGCACCCTGGCAACCGCCGGGAGCGCGGCCCGCCGCGCCGCCAAGCGCCGCCGCTGCCGTCGCAACACGCGGCGAGACGGGAGGGAGGAGAGTGTCGTAAACCGCGGGGGCGAGGGGCGGAGCCGGGCGGGACCATAGAGAGGGGCGGGAGGACCGGGAGAACCATAGAGAGGCGGCGAAGAGGTACCAGAGCGGCCATGGTGCAGCCCGCGCCTTCCCAGTGTCCCCATCACCCTGATGGCTCCTCATGTGTCCCCACATGTTCCCCCCCCGTCCCCATCGCCCCCCGTGTCCCCTCCATCTTCCCTCACGTCCCCCCCCCGTCCCCATCGCCCCCCGTGTCCCCTCCATCTTCCCTCATGTCCCCCCCCGTCCCCATCGCCCCCCGTGTCCCCTCCATCTTCCCTCATGTCCCCCCCCGTCCCCATCGCCCCCCGTGTCCCCTCCATCTTCCCTCATGTCCCCCCCCGTCCCCATCGCCCCCCGTGTCCCCTCCATCTTCCCTCATGTCCCCCCCCTGTCCCCATCGCCCCCCGTGTCCCCTCCATCTTCCCTCACGTCCCCCCCCGTCCCCATCGCCCCCCGTGTCCCCTCCATCTTCCCTCACGTCCCCCCCCGTCCCCATCGCCCCCCGTGTCCCCTCCATCTTCCCTCACGTCCCCCCAGTGTCCCCCCCATGTCCCCATGTCCCCCCCCGGCACAGACGGAGCCCTCAGGGGGTTCAGAGCAGGTTTATTGGGGGGTGGCAGCATGGCGGGGGGGCGGGCGGGGAGGGTTGCGTGTGCGTATGACCATGCGCGAGCCCCCACCCCCCCCTCTCTCGCACGCGGCCTGCGCACACGCGTGTGCGAGGGGAGTAGCGGCGGGGGGGAGGCAATACAGGGCCCCCCCCAAAGCGACATTTTGGGGCGCAGCGGGGAGGGGTGTGCGTGTGGGTCCCAGCGGCTCTGGGTAGCGGCGTCCGGCCCCCCCCCCTCCCTCCTCGTGCAAGGGCCGTCGTGCAAGGGCTGGGCTCCTCATGCAAGCTCCCCGCCCCGCCCTGGCTCAGGGCGGTTTGGGGGAGGCGCTGGGGGGGGGGTCTCACATGAGGGCAGCTCTCGCACGAGGGTGGCTTTCCCTGAAGGCTTTGGCGTAAGGCCCTCGCACGAGGCTCTTGCATGAGGCTGTTGCACAAGGGTGGCTCTCGCACAAGGGCCTTGCACGAGGATGGCTCTTGCACAAGGCTCTTGCGCCAGGGACAGTTTTGCACAAGAATGGTTCTCACAGGACAGCTCTTGTGTGAGGCTTTTGCACGAGGCTCATGCACAAGGGAGGCTTTTGCACAAGGCTCTTGCACAAGAGCAGCTCTCACACGAGGCTCTTGCACAAGGTCCTTGCACAAGGCTCATGCACATGAATGGTTCTTGCACGAGGCCCTTGCACGAGGACAGCTCTTGCACGAGGCTCTTGCACAAGGCCCTTGCACGAGGCCGGCTCTTGCACGAGGCTCTCGCACGAGAGCGTCTCTGGAGCCCTGGGGCTGCGCAGGACGGAGCGGTATAAAAGGGGGTCCCCGGGGGGGGGCGGGGGGGGCGCTGCCCCGGTGGTCCCAGATTTTGGGGGGGGGGGGGGGGGGGGGGTCCCTGGGCCCCCCCCAAAGGGGCATTTTCAGCCCAGCACCAAGTGGGGGGGTTTTCCCCCCCCGAGCCCCCCCAGGGGGGCCCGGGCCGAGGTAGGACTGGGGGGGGGGGGGAGGGGCTGGGAGGCCCCATGGGAGGATTTTGGGGGGGGCCTCGTGGTTGGGGGGGGAGCCCTGAGGGCCCCTAAAAGTGTGTGTGTGTGGGGGTTTCCTCTGGGGGACGATTGGGGGGGGGGTGTCCTAAATTGGGGGGGGCCTACCCCCAGAGGTGGGGAGGGGGGTGTCCAGATGGGTCCCCATGTGGGGGTGTTCGGAGTGGGGGGTCCCCCATGCCAGGGGGTCAAAGCCCCCCCCAAGGATTAAGGGCTTAGAGGAGGGGGATCAAGGGGGGGGGTAAATGGGGGGGGAGCGTGGGGGGGTCTCAGCTTGGGGGGGGAACACACACTGGGGGCACCCCAGGGGCTGTGGGAGGGGCGATGGCTTTTTGGGGGGACCCCAATGTGTGCCAGCTTGGGTCCCCCCCCCATTTATGGGATGAGTTGGGGGGGGGGGGGATCATTTTTGGGCATCCCCCCATTGGGTATCAGGGTGTTTCAAGACACCCCCCCTCCTGTGGGTTTTGGGGGGGGCTGAGTTTTGGGGTCCCCATCAATTTGGGGGGGTGGGAGGGTGTTGGTGGTTTGGAGCCGCTGCTGGTTTTGGGGGGGTTGGCCCCCCCCCCCACCTCAGTTGCTCTCCAGACGTGTGCCCTGGGGGGGCCCCCTGGGGCGCCCCTCAGTCTCCTCCTGGGGGGGCCCCAGGGAAGGGGGGGCCCCCGGCAGGGTCAGACCATCAGCCAACAGAGCTGCAAATGGGGGGGGAACACACATATTATTGGGGTCCCCCCCATAATTAAACCCCCACCCTTGGTTGTGCCCCCCCCCTCAATTTGGGGTCCCAGTTTCCAGCTGTGTGTGTGCCCCCCCCCCCAATTTCACCCCTGTTATCAGGTTATTTTCACACACACACCCCCCCCAGGTTTTGGGTCCCACCCCCTCGAGATTTGGGGACCCCCCACCCATGGTTTTGGGTCACTCGTTATTAAATTAAACCTCCATTATTAGCGAACCCCCCCCCCCCATTTTGGGGGATTTTTGGGACTCCCTAATCACCACTCCCTTATTATTACACCCCGATAATTGGGGGGGGCCCCCCCTCACCGAGGGGTGGCTCCTGCCCCAGGTGGGGGCTCAGTCCCGCGGGGTCCTCCCCACTCAGCAGCAGCCCCTGTGGGGGACACGGAGGGGGGGGGAGACACACACACGGGGGGACGTGGGGACACGGGGGGGGGGGGGGGACGGACAGACGGACATGGGGACAGGGCACCTGCCCCCCCTCCTCCCCCTCCCGTGTCGCCTCCCCCCGCCCCCACAAGCCCCTCCCCCCTCCCCCCGTGTCCCTCCCACCCCACCCGTGTTGTCCCCACGTACCCTCCGTGACCCTCCGCCCCCGCCCCCTCCTCCCACGCCCGCGTGTCCCCCCCCACATCCATGTCCCCCCCCACGCACCCATCCGCGCGTCCCCCCCTCCAACCGCGTCCCCCCGTGTCCGTGTGTCCCCCCCCCACCCCTCCCACTCCCACGCGTGTCCCCCCATACCAGGCCGAGGGGGGGCAGCAGGTGGGGGTCGAGCTCGGGGCGCTTCAGGGGGGCGCCCGCGTCCTCCCCGCTCGGCTCCCGCGCCCTGCGCGGCACCGTCACACCGCGCCCACGCCACGCCCCACGCCACGCCCCCCTCCCAATCCCCCTCCATCAGCACTACCCAGCAACAAGCCCCGCCCCACCCCGTTAGCCCCGCCCCCAACCCCGCCCGTTATCCCCTCCCCTAAAGCCCCACCCCGCCAAGCCCCTCCCCTAACACCCCCTCCACAATCAGCCCCCTCTTAGCCCCGCCCCCCCAGACCCCGCCCACCTCTTCCTGCCAGGGCGGGGCGCCAGGGCGGGGCCGAGGGCGGGGTCGCTGCCCCAGCGCGGGAGGGCGGGGCCTGGGCGGGAGGGGGCGGAGCCTCGGCCGGGGAAGCTGCGGGCGCGAGGGCGGGGGGGCGTGGCCGCGGCTGCGGAGGCGGGGCCAGGCGGGCGCGGGCCACGCCCCCGAGGCGCTTCGGCCCCGCCCAGCTGGAAGTCGCCGTCCATGGGGATGTACGGGGCCAGCATGGCCAGGTCCAGGGGGGACGCCTGGGGGGGCACAAGGGGGGGACAAGGGGGGACAGTGTCACCCCCCCAGGCACGGCCAGGCCCCGTGGGGTCCCTCCCAGCCCCCCCCGTACCTGCAGGGCGGTGCCGGCTCCCGGGCTCCCAGCAAAAAGCTTCTGCACCTCGAACAGCAGCTCGTCCCCGGGGGGCTGGGGGCGGGGGGGGACACACGGACAGTCAGACCCCCCCCAGCACAACGTGCCTGCCCCCCCCCACCCTGCCCAGGCCCCCCCTAAAACGCAAACTGTCTCCCCATATTCTTTCAGGATCCCAAATATCCCTTTGGGGACACCCCCAGACTCCAGTAACCCCAGGATAACCCCCCCCCCCAACCCTGCAACCCCTCCCCGGGTCCCCCCACAGCTTGCAAAGGACCCCCAGGACCCCCCATGTTCCCCCAGGGACCCCCCCCCTTTTCCCCAGGGACCCCTCTGGACACCCCCCACCCCACAGCCTGGTTGAAACATCCAAAGGCCTCTCAGTGACACCCCCCAAAATGTCTCCCACCCCCCCCCCAAGCCTGGCTGGGACCCCCCGGACTTACCGGGGAGGGGCTGCGGGGGCGACGGCGGGGGGGCGCTGAGGGGGGGTCGAAGATGGGGGCGAGGAGGCGGGCAAGTTCGGGGGAGCAGAAGCGCCGGGGGTCCCGCTGCAGCGCTGCCTCGGGGACGTGGGCCGGGCGCACGAAAGCCAGCACCCGCGGGCCCCCCACCCCTGCCCGCACCGTCAGCGCGGGCTGGGGGACCCCCCAAAACCCCCAGCCATCCCCAGGGACCCCCCAGCACCCGTGGGCCCCCCACCCCTGCCCACACCGTCAGCGCGGGCTGGGGGACCCCCCCGAAACCCCCCGGCCATCCCCAGGGACCCCCCAGCACCCGCGGGCCCCCCACCCCTGCCCGCACCGTCAGTGTGGGCTGGGGGACCCCCCCGAAACCCCCCGGCCATCCCCAGGGACCCCCCAGCACCCACGGGCCCCCCAGAAACTCCCCCCCCCATCCCCAGGGATGCCCCAGCACCCATGGCCCCCCCAGAACCCACCCCCCCCATCTCAGGGGCCCCCCAGCACCCATGGGCCCCCCAGAAACTCCCCCCACCATCCCCACGGACCCCCCAGCACCCATGGGCCCCCAGAACCCCCCCATGATCCCCAGGGACCCCCCCAGCACCTCAGGGATGCCCCCAGAGCCCCCCAAAATCCCAGCCCCCCCTGCACCAAGCCCCAGCGCCCCCAAAATCCTCTCCCAGTGCCCCAGCGCCCCCCTCCCAGTGCTCCCAGTTGCCACAGCCGGTGCCCACCGAGGCTGAGGTTGAGGATGGCGTCGGGGGTGTCGGGGCCGGGGGCGGGGGGGGGCAGGCGGCGCCCCTCACCCCGGCGTTGGGTCTGCTCCAGCGACAGCACCACCCCTCGCTGCTCCACGCGGCTGTGGGGGGGCCGTCAGCCCCCCCGTGGGACGGGGACGGGCCCCCCCATGGGGCAGCAACACACCCCCCAACCCCCCCGCAAAAATAGGCTGGGGGTAGGGGCTGCAGGGTATCGGGTTTGGGGTGCTGACCTCCCCCCCCTCCCTCCAGGCACTGGGAGTAGAGGATTTGGGGTGCAGCCCCCCCAGGCATCATTCATGGGGTGCACACCCCCACTGGGCATAGCGTCGAAGATTCGGGGGGCTGACCCCCTCCCCCCCCAAGAACTGGATATGGGGTGCTCCCCCCCCCAGGCACTGGATACAGGCTACAACATTTGGGGTGCTGCACGCCCAGGCATCATTTACGGGGTGCACACCCCCCACTGAGCGTAGGCTATAAGATTTGGGGTGCTGACACCCCCCCCTCCAGGCACTGGATATGGGGTGCAGCCCCCCCAGGTATCATTTATGGGGTGCACATCCCCACTGGGTATCGGGTCTGAGATTTGGGGTGCTGACCCCTCTCCAAGCACCAGATATAGGGTGCTGACCCCCCCAGGCACTAGATACAGGCTACAAGATTTGGGGTGCTGTCCCCGCAGGCACCATTTATGGGGTGCACACCCCCCACTGGGTATGGGGTCTGAGATTTGGGGTGCTGCCCCCCCCAGGCACTGGACACAAGCTATAAGGTTTGGGGTGCTGCCCCTCCAGGCACCATCTATGGGGTGCCCAACCCCACCGGCTACGAGGGCTGAGATTTGGGGTGCTGCCCCCCCGCCCCACCCAAACCCCAGCGCATGGGCTGCCAACCCCCCCCCCCCCACACACACACACCTTGGTGACCAGATTTGGGGCTTGAATTTTGGGGGTACTCCCCACAACCCCCCCCCCGCCCCGCACCAAAGGCACCAACTTCTGAAGCGCCGATGCCCCACGGGCACCCAACGCTGTGTCCTCCCCGTGCTGTGTCCCCCCCCGGGTCCCGCGTGGGTGCCCCCCCCGCGTCCCCCCCACCTGAGGACGAAGTGGAGGCAGACGATGCCCTCGGGCTGGGCGCTGCGGCTGTTGGCGATGACGGTGGCCTGGGTCTGCGCCCACAGGAACCCCCCGCGCTTGGCCAGGAACCGGTACTGGCTCGTCACCGCCTGTCCCTTGCTCAGCACTGCGGGGGGGCGGGGGGGTCACCACCCCCACCCCCGGTGAAACACGGCGGGATCGGGGTACAGCGGGGCGGGGAGGCGGGGGGGGGATGCCTGAAGGGCATGTTGGGCTTCCCAGGGGTGCCCCAGGGGGATATAGAGGTGTCCAGGGGGGATGTTGGGGAGCCCATATGCCCCAAGGGGATATTGAGGTGCCCAGGGGGGATATTGAGGTGCCCAGGGGTGCCCCAAGGGGATATTGAGGTGCCCAGGGGGGATATTGAGGTGCCCAGGGGGGATGTTGAGGTGCCCAGGGGTGCCCCAAGGGGATATTGAGGTGCCCAGGGGGGATATTGAGGTGCCCAGGGGGGATGTTGGGGATCCCAGGGGTGCCCCAAGGGGATATAGAGGTGTCCAGGGGGGATGTTGGGCTTCTCAGGGGTGCCCCAAGGGGATATTGGGGAGCCCGGGGGGGATATTGAGGATCCCAGGGGTGCCCCAGGGGGATATAGAGGTGCCATGGGGGGATATTGGGGTTCCCAGGGGTGCCCCAAGGGGATATTGGGGAGCCCAGGGGGGATATTGAGGAGCCCAGGGGTGCCCCAAGGGGATACTGGGGGGCCCAGGGGGGATATCGGGGCTCCCAGGGGCGCCCCAGGGGGATACTGGGGTTCCCAGGGGGGATATTGGGGATCCCAGGGGCGCCCCAGGGGGATATTGGGGTGCCCAGGGGGGATATCGGGGCTCCCAGGGGTGCCCCAGGGGGATATTGGGGAGCCCAGGGGGGATATCGGGGCTCCCAGGGGCGCCCCAGGGGGATATTGGGGAGCCCAGGGGCGATGTGGGGGTGCCGGGGGTTGGGGGGCACTCACGGGTGTGCACGCTCCTGCTGAGGGTGTCGGAGTCGAGGGCGTGGACGTACTCGTAGAGGGAGCAGCCGAGCAGCTCCTCGGGGGCGTACCCCGCCACCTCCCCGATCCTGCGCACCCCAGCTCAGACGGGCCCCCCGAGACTCGCCGAGGGGCTCCCCCCCTTCCCCGTCCCCGGGGGGGGAGACGTGGGGTCCCCTATGGGGTCCTGGGGTGCCCTAAGGGGTCCTGAGGGCCACTTAAGGGGTTCAAGGGGCCCCAAGAGGGTCTGTGACGGGGGGGGGGAGGTTTGGGGGGGCCCTATGGGGTGCTGGGGGTGTCCTGGGGTGCCCCTAAGAGGTCCTGGGGGGCACTTATGGGGCTTGGGGGCCCCAAGAGGGTCCTGGGGGGCCTTGGGAGTTCTGGGGGGTTCCTAAGGGGTGGGGGGGCAAGGTCTAAAGGGTTTGGGGTGCTGGGGGGTTTTGGGGTGCTGGAAGGGTGGGGGTCTGGGGAGGGGGGTAGAGAATGCCGGGGGTCCAAGGGGTTTTGGGGTGCTGGAAACTGGGGTGTGGGGGGTCTAGGTGTGGAGGGTGGGAGGTTTTGGGGTGCTGGGGGTCTGGGGTGGATGTTCAGGGAGCTGGGGGGGGGGCAGGAGTCGGGGGGGGCGGGTTTTGGGGTGCTGGGGACCAGACGGTGTTGGGGTTCAGGGGGTGGGTGGGTTCTGGGGTGCTGGGGCCTGGGGGGCAGGTTTTGGGGTGCTGGGCTCCAAGGGGAGCTGGGTTTTGGGGTGGGGGGTGGGTTCTGTGGTGCTGGGGTCTAGAGGGTGGGATTTGGGGTGCTGGGGTCTGGGGGGTGCTGGGTTTTGGGGGGGGTGGATGGGGTCTGGGGTGCTGTGGTTTGGGGGGTGTTTCTGGGGTGCTGGGGTCTGGGGGGGTGCTGGGTGCTGGGTGCTGGGGGGGTGCTGGGCTCCAGAGGGCAGGTTTTGGGGTGCTGGGGTCCAGTGGGTGTTGGGTTTTGGAGGGGTGCTGGGTTCTGGGGTGCTGGGGTCTGGGGGGTGCTGGGTGCTGGGGTCTGGGGGGGGTGCTGGGTTCCGGAGGGCAGGTTTTGGGGTGCTGGGGTCTGGGGGGTGCTGGGTTCTGGGGTGCTGGGGTCTGGGGGGTGCTGGGTGCTGGGGTCTGGGGGGGGTGCTGGGTTCCGGAGGGCAGGTTTTGGGGTGCTGGGGTCTGGGGGGTGCTGGGTTCTGGGGTGCTGGGGTCTGGGGGGTGCTGGGTTCCGGAGGGCAGGTTTTGGGGTGCTGGGGTCCAGTGGCGGGGGGGGGGGGGATGCTAGCTTCCAGAGGGCGGGTTTTGGGGGGCTCCCCCGCGCCCCCCCTCACCTGTCATCGCAGTAGGTGAACTTCATGTCCATGGAGTGGCGGGTGAGGACGGTGCCCGAGCCCAGGGGGGTCTCGATGGCCCCGGGGTGGGGGATGGCCTCGCAGATCAGCACCAGGCACCGCAGGGGGGGGGTCGCCCCCCCCGGCCCCCGCGTAGGACCGCATGTGCCCCGCGCAGTGCAGCACCTGGGGCACACACACACACGGGGGGCACGGCCCCCCCGGCACTGTGTCCCCAGAGAACGCTCTGACCCCCTCACTGCCCCCCCCCCTGTGTTACCCCCATACCCCCCCGTGTCCCCCCCACATCCCCCAATGTCCCCCTGTCCCTTCATGTGTCCCCCCATGTCCCCCCATTTCCCTTATGTCTCCACGTCCCCCCATGTCCCCCCCATCCCCTATGTGTCCCCCCGTCCCTTCATCTCCCCCCATGTCCCCCCACATCTATTATGTCCCCCTGTCCCACCCTGTCCCCCCATCCCTTATGTCCCCATGTCCCCCCGCCCCACATCCCCCCACACCCCATGTCCCAACCCCCCCCATGTCCCCGTCCCTCCATCCCCCATATCCCTGGGTCCCACCGTGTCCCCACGTCCCCCCACATCTATTATGTCCCCCTGTCCCCCCCATTCCTTATGTCCCCATGTCCCCTTTATGTCCCCCCACGTCCCCCCACCCCACATCCCCCCACATCCCCCCATGCCCCCCCATGTCCCCACCCTCCCCGATATCTCTGTCCCTCCATCCCCCCGTATCCCCCCATGTCCCTGTGTCTCCCCACGTCCCCCCCACGCCCCCCCCCACACTCCCCCACGCCCCCCCACCTTCCAGGAGGCCGCCTTGAGGTTGAGGCAGCGCCCGCGCCCCGTCAGGGTGCTCTTCATCCGCAGGGAGAAGCTGCGCCCCGAGCGCTCCCCCCGCCGCCGCGGCACCGCTGGGGGGGGGGGGCCGAGGTCACGGGGGGGGGGGGGGGGAAACAGGGGGGGGCGGCAGACCCAGGGAGGGGTTTGGGGGGTCCCAGGGGACGCCCGGGGCTGCTGGGAGGGGTGCTGAGGTGTTTTGGGGTGTCCCGGAGGAGACCGAGGGATGCTGGGGGGGGGCAGAATTGTTTGGGGGGGTCCCAGTGGTGCTGGGGGGGCACTGGTGGGGGCTCAGGGGCGTTTGGGGGGGTCCCAGTGGTGCTGGGGGGCATTGGAGGGGTCTCAGGGGAATTTGGGGGGTCCCAGGAGAGACCCAGGGATGCTGGGAGGGGGCAGAAATGTTTGGGGGGTCCCAGTGGTGCTGGGGGGGGGTCCCAGGGGAGTCCCATGGTGCTGGGGGGGGTATTAGTAGTGTTTGGGGGGTCCCGGCAGTTTTGGGGGGGGTCTGGGGAGAGTCCTGGGGTGTTTTGGGTGTGCTGGGGTGCTGGAGGGGGGTCAGGGGTGTTTGGGGGGGGGGGGTCTCAAGGGAGTCCTGAGGTGCGGGGGGGGGGGGTCAGGGGTGTTTGAGGGGGTCCCAGGTGAAGTCTGGGGTGCTGAGGGGGGGTCGAGGGTATTTGGGGGAGGTCTCAGGGGGGTCCCAGGGGAGTCCCGGGGTGCTGGGGGGGGCTCAGGGGTGTTGGGGGGGCCCCGGGGGTCTCACCCTGCCGGGGGCTGAGCACATCCTGCAGCTCCTCGTGATCACAGGGGTGCACAAAGTCAAAGACGCTGTGGCCAATCAGCTCCAGCTGTGGGGGGGGGGGGGGTGTGGGGGTGTGTGTGCACGTCTCGCACGAGCACCCACGCACAGGGCCTCACACCAGCACCCGTGCACGGGCACCCTCGCATGGAGCCTTGCACCAGCGCCCTTGCACAAGAACGCTCACGCGAGCACCCGCACACAGACACCCTCACAGGATCACCCGCACACACTCTCACACAAACACCCGCACAAAAACACCCGCACGCGATCACCCACACAAAAACACCCTCACATGAACACCCTCAAACCAGACACCCTCCCACAAACACCCGCACACACCTGCACACAAACACCCTCCCACGAGCACCCTCACATGAACACCTGCACACAAACACCCTCACACAAGCACTCTTGCACAACACCCTCACAAGACCATCCACACACAAACACCCTCCCACGAGCACCCACACACAAACACCTGCACACAAACACCCTCACACAATCACCCTCAAACGAACACCCGCACATGAGCGCCCTTGCACAAACACCCTCACACAAAGACCATCACACAACCACCCACACACGATCACCCGCACACAAACACCTGCACACGAACACCCTCACATGAACACCCTCACACAATCACCCACACACGATCACCCACACACGAACACCCGCACACAACCACCCACACACAACCACCCACACACAACCACCCACACACACCCTCACATGAACACCCGCACCCAAACACCCTCACACGCCCACCCCCGCCCCACCGCACCCCACCAGCCGCCTGTTCCCCCGCCATGGCTGCCCCGCGCCCCCTCACAGGCAGAGTTGTGGGGTGCCCCCTCGCCTCCCCCCCGGCCCCCCCCCACCTGGCTGAGCCCCAGCAGCCGGTTGACGTTCTCGGACAGGAAGATCATGTCTCCCGCCTCGCTCAGCACCATCACGAAACCGCTCAGCGCCTTCAGATAACACCCGTCCACCTCCTCGGCCGCTGCCGCCCAGGCGCCTGGGGGGGCCCAGGGGTGTTTTGGGGGTCCCCAGGGTGCTCAGGGGGGCTGGGGGTGACTGGGAGAGGCTGGGGGGGTGCTTGGAGGGAGGAGGGTGGGGGACTTCAGGGTGTCCCCAGGGTGCTGAGGGGGGCTGGGGGTGCTTGGGGGGGTGGCTATGGGTGTTTTGGGGGTCCCCAGGGTGCTCAGGGGGGGTGGGGGTGCTTGGGGGGTGGCTATGGGTGTTTCGGGGGTCCCCAGGGTGCTGAGGGGGGTTGGGGGTGCTTGGGAAGGTGGCTATGGGTGTTTCGGGGGTCCCCAGGGTGCTCAGGGGGGGTGGGGGTGCTCAGGGGAGGGGGCTGGGGGAGCTCAGGGGGTCCCCAGGGTGCTCAGGGGGCCTAAGGGTGTTTTGGGGGTCCCCGCATGCTCAGGGAGGCTGGGGGTGCCTGAGGAGAGGGGCTATGGGTGTTTTGGGGGGCCCCGGGGGGCTCAGGCGGGTTGTGGGTGCTTGAGGTGAGGAGGCTGGGGGAGCTCAGGGGGTCTGGGGTGTTTGGGGGGTCCTGTGGGTGATGGGGGTGCTCAGGGGATCCCACGGGTGCTCGGGGGGGGCCTATGGGTCCCAGGAAGTCCCATGGTTCCCTTGGGGTCCCAGGAGGTCCCACGGGTGTTTGGGGGCCCCAGGGGGTCCCATGGGTGTTTAGGGGTCCCAGAAGATCCTATGGGTGTTTGGGGGTCCCAGGAGGCCCCAAGAGACCCCATGGGTCCCTGATGGTGCCAGAAAGCCCCAGGAGGTCCCAGGGGTGCTTGGGGATCTCGGGAGACCCCAGGAGACCCCACGGGTGTTTGGGGATCTCAGGAGGTCCCAGGGGTGTTTGTGGACCCCAGGAGACCCCACGGGTGTTTGGGGATCTCGGGAGGTCCCACGGGTGTTTGAGGACCCCAGGAGACCCCACAGGTGTTTGTGGACCCCAGGAGGTCCCAGGGGTGTTTGTGGACCCCAGGAGGTCCCAGGGGTGCCTGGGGATCCCGGGAGGCCCCAGGAGGTCCCGCGGGCGTTTGGGGGTCCCGGGGGTCCCCCGGGGCTCACCGGCAGCCAGGAGGCGGTGGACGCGCAGGTAGCTGATGGTGAGGCGCATGATGGAGGCCTTGTCGAGGTGGGCGCTGACGCCGCGGGCGAAGGGCAGGGTGTGCGCCAGCTGGTAGAAGACCTCGGTCTCCCGGCTGCGCCGGCACCGCGCCGCGTCCCGCGAGCGCTCCTTCCGCAGCTCCGGCGTCGACCTGCCGGGGCCCGCCAGCACCCATGGGCGCTCGTGGGCACCCCCCCCCGCTGCACCCCGGGCGCCCACAGGGCACCCACAGCGCGCCCCGGGCACCCGTGTTGTACCCACCCTGCACTCATGCATGCACCCTGCACCCACAGTGCACCCAGGGCACCCACACTGCACCCACAGTGCACCCACAGTGCACCCACAGTGCACCCAGGGCACCCACACTGCACCCACACTGCACCCACAGTGCATCCACAGTGCACCCACAGTGCACCCAGGGCACCCACCCTGCACCCACAGTGCACCCACAGTGCACCCACAGTGCACCCAGGGCACCCACCCTGCACCCACACTGCACCCAGGGCACCCTGTGCACCCACACTGCACCCACCCTGCACCCAGGGCACCCACACTTGCACCCACAGTGCACCCACAGTGCACCCAGGGCACCCACAGTGCACCCAGGGCACCCACAGTGCACCCACAGTGCACCCACAGTGCACCCAGGGCACCCACCCTGCACCCACACTGCACCCACAGTGCACCCAGGGCACCCACACTGCACCCACAGTGCACCCAGGGCACCCACACTGCACCCAGGGCACCCACACTGCACCCACAGTGCACCCACAGTGCACCCACAGTGCACCCAGGGCACCCACCCTGCACCCACCCTGCACCCACAGTGCACCCAGGGCACCCACCCTGCACCCACACTGCACCCACCCTGCACCCAGGGCACCCACAGTGCGCCCTGAGCACCCCGCCCCCCGCACCGCATCCCACCCGTCCCTCCCCCCACCCCACGCCCCCCTCCCAGCACCCATGGGTGCCCCCCGGCACCCGCTGTCACCGTGAGACACCCGGTGACACCAACACCCAAACTGTGGGCGGGGTACACTGTCACCACGAGCCAGGGGCACGGGGAGCCATGGGGACACGAGGGGACACGGGGGGGGGGTGCGGGGGGGTGTCCCAGGTGTGTGAGTGGACACGGGGGGTGTCCGGGTG